TATGCACACTTTTGTTTTAAACGCGAAATAATGCATATGAAAAAAAAACGAAGTAATGCATACATGCACAGTTTCGGTTCAAAACCGAAATAATGCATATCACATAAACCAAAATAAAGCATATATGCACAGTTTCGGGTAAAACCGTCTAATATCAATATATTAATTATATTATTATGATTCCTTGACCCTAAAAATCGTTACTTACACTTGTTCAATTATTTTAAAAAGAATACAAAATTTTTTTTACAAATACCAGTTTCTGAATAAACCACGTGCTCTACAGAAAATCTAGGGTGACCCGAAAATTCTGACTTCAGATTCGGATTCAGCGGGCTCAAAAGCTTTGGAAACCGTTGAGAAACAGCGGGGGATTTTTTGCCTGTTGTACAGTGTAATTAAGGATTTGTAGGATAAAAATTACTAATTACACTTATCTTAGGATTATTTTGCGTAAAATATTTAGTTGTATTCAGTTACCATAAGTCCACAAAAAATTTTTTCAGAAAAAGACAAGAACGGAATTCATTTCGCTGGAACATATTTAGGTCGACGCGTTCGGATTTGCACTTCGTCCTTTTAGACCGTATCTTGATTTCGAATAACTGCGAATTCTGAAAAGTTTTGATGCTTTTTCAATTTCAATTAAATAAATAACTTAAAAATAAAAAAAGGAATGCGGTAAATTGTTCTAAGGACACAATCGTTCTCGCCGAAGCCGATTAGAGAGCATTATTGTCCAGTTTCATAGTCCTTCAAGGGATCTCCCGGGAACTTTAAAATTAAAGGATATGCAACTTAGTAATTTTGGGTACCCAGCTTCGATGAAAGCTGTTGGCTCTCAAATACACTTTTCGGCATTCGGTTTCTTATATTTTTAAGTTATTTTTACAGATGAAGAAAAAAGTAGGAAAAAAACTAGCGATTGATCGGGGTTTTTGATAGATCTTTGATAAATAGTATTCAATCGTTACGTAATTTTTACCAAATTAAAGGTCAGACATTGAACATTTCTGTAAATAAAATCCAGAATTACAACTTTACGACTCACCGTGTTTCGTCCTTCGAAAATCAAAATGGAGTACATGCGAGCAAATTATTTTTGCTTTAATTGCTCAAAGATAACTGTAGTTACATATATTTCAAGGAACCAAACTTTGACAAACTTTTCGTAAACAAAAATACCAATATTTAAAAATATTCAACATAAATAACAAAATAGACCGATTTAAAATTTTCTAAAAGAAGGCCCTATTAAAAGCAATTTAGTTAAATTTAGTCTTCAATGATAGAAATGGCCGTCTTCAATGTTCAAGAGGTTTTTTTCTTGAAATATGTCTTCACTAAAACACAATTACCGAAGAAACGGGTAGAACGACTGAAAGCGTGGAGAAAAAAAACGTATCACAACATTGACTGTTTTCAGGTTGACATATGTCAACAGGAAAGCAGCGGAGGAAGTTTTCATGACAACTATTCAATAGATCAGTTATTTAGCTTTAGGAATAGTATCTTTTACTGGACTTTTGCAACAATTGCTAAATTTTACTTTTGACCGGTTTTTTGCATAAATATTGCTATGTGCGACGGCAAGAAATCCGTCCCCGCCGCAATTCTGTACCGTGTCATGCCATTCTTGTGTTCTAATTTTGACAGCGGCTACCTGCCAGCCCTTACCCACTATGCGCTGCAATTCTATTTACCACATTACTCTGCGCTAGCCTTGTTGTTGCAGCTCATATATATACATAAGGGTACATGTAAAAAAGTAGCATTTACATATGCAAATGCATATCGTGTAAGAGCCCTGTTAGCTCTGCCTCTCAGTCGTTCTCGTCAAGTTCAACTAATGGGAGGCCAAAGAAGCTTGCCACTTCGCCTGGATTAGCCCACAGAGGGAGGGGCGTTAGGAGATGAGGTTTCGCAGACATACGAAGAGGAGCTTTAAATCATGGGGTGAGTCACCGCTTGAAGAATACGTGTTGGGAACGTTTGGGTCAATCCTGCTCAGATAAGAGTTTACCTGCTAACGTCTGTTAACTCACTGACTTTGAATAGAACTGGGTTTTCGACGCCATCGTTCATAATAACCAACTCCCTAATGCACTTTTCGACAATTTTTACTGACTCATTCGTTGATTTTGCCAATGATTTAATTTGTATTCCTTGGTTTTTACAGACCCAAAAGGCGTTGTGTAACATTGGCGATGTCTCAAGTACAGATGTTTCTGAAGATGAAATGTGTGAAACTAATGCATCCCGACCAGAACAATCATCAGGATCAGATTCTAATACGATGCCTAATGGACTACAAGAATCTACATCCGTATCATCTCAAGTGCCATTGCCTGATATCCCACAAGTCCTGAGTGAAAGTAATCGCCGATCTTAAAAATAATCATGTTATGATAAAACTATATAAAAATGAATAATTTTTTAGTAATAGAGGAGGACAAGACTACGCCATGATTTCGTAAACGTAGTATGAATGTGTATAAACAAGCTAAGTATTTGTATGTAGTTCTGAATATGCTCTTGGTGGAATTATTACAATATGATGTATGACGACACCATTTTCGAACCGTCAGTCACACGCGTACGAGTAAATTATATTTTATCAGAAAAATTAAGTAGATTTAGAACAAACTAATGAAATACAAGCAAAACAATTGTCTACTTAATTAATTAATATTTTACTTCCACACTTTTGCTAGTAATTGTAAAGCTTTTCCGATTTGAGGGGCGACCGCTAAAAGAAAAGAAATGTTTCAGATAATGCTTGGACCAGGGATTTATATCTATTTTATTTAATTATTTGTTACAGTCTTGGAACTTAAAAGTACAGATCGATATTTGTAATATATAACAAAGTATGCGTATATGTAAGTTAAAATTTCAATTACAGCTGTTTATGTTTCTAAAACTATCAAATAACCTATATAAATGTATATTGTCTAACTAGTTGGGTAGCTGGCGAGACATAGTCTCCAGTCTACCTTTATATATGTACTATGTGCAGCGGGCGGAAAGACCCTGTTTCCGCTCCGCGTTGCTAACGAGTTGATCGTCATGGTCGGAAAGGCCGAGTTTCCGATCCATGTTCCCGTCGTCATTAATGTGCAAACCCTGACGCTAAATTCCGCTCCGTGTTATGGGCGGGCTGTTGGACATAGGCGGAAAGACAGAGTTTCCGATCCATACTCACAGCGCCTTTCGTGTGCTAGTTCATTTGCTTGGTCGGATGGAAAGGCCTGGTTTCCATTCCGTGCTTTCCTACCTATTAGCCAGAGTTTTAGAGTGATAAAATAGTTGTCTTTTAAAAACAGCATCGACAGGATCGAATCCTATATCACTAGTCCACGGCGGCCGCCTATTAAATATCAACGAAACAATTGAATATAAAACCAAAATACTAAGGATGACCTTGAGTTTTATGGGCATTCGAAGGAGTCTAACTATTAATCGAATAAACATCGCTATTGAGCTTTCCTTAAAGATTTATCGCGTCCACACAACCTGATTTGTAGTCTCTTTTGTAAATACATTTCACTTCATCTGAACAGGTTCAGCATGATCTGCTAGATCATCCGGAAGCCAGTATATTTTTCAGGTTTCATAAATTGTACATTTTAGAAGCAGCGTTGCCACATTGGTATTAAAAAAATATAATTGATGGGATGGGAGTTTCTATTATTTTTAATGGTTCTTAGTCTTTTCAGATGATCCTAAATAGTATATTTTTGGAGTCTTAAAATGTGTAATTATTATGATTAGAAGGGCGTCCCATTGTATTAAAAACACACGCAGGTTTATGGTATAAGTGAAACAATTAATGTATGTACATTAGCGTGGGCCGAAAATTCGCTTTTTTAGAATTTTGCTTGGTAATAGCAAAAATATAGTTCACTATGCTCTAAAAACAATCTGTGTGAAATATGACAATTTTTGGTCAATATCTTAGGCTCGCCCAAGTCCATCAAAGTTCAAGTACTAAAATGGCGACTCACCGATTTATTGCTGTGGTGTCAAATCGGCAACATAATTTCTTTCATGTCAACTTTGGAATAAATAAGTTGTCAAATATTCCCAAACTAATAAATTTCGCGTCAACAGTATTTTCCAAAATTGTCTAATTTATACCAAAGACAGGATTGAAAAAATAGTAAGCCCCATAGCGAAATAAAGAATTAATGCCGTTTCTAAATTCCAATTTTTATTAAAAACAATAAAATTATTCCAAATATCGCCTGGAGCAATATTACCGGCAATAAATTTGTTTCCGATGGCGAAACGTTTTCTTATTGCCGGCAACAAAATTAGTTTGGTGGCTTCTGCTTGTTGGCACATCTTGTTACATATGTATGTATGTATGTACATTAGACTGCATAACCAAAAAAAGGTGCTGTTTTTGCGC